AAACTAGCTTTTGCCCGCGACTTCGTTCGCGTGGACTTCAGGTTCGTCCCGTCTAGTCTAGTCTAGTAATAAGTAAGAAATACGGTAACTAAGCACTGCAGAGCCCTAATCATAGGTCTATAGGTAGCTACTGCAGTATGCTCCTATAAACTACATTTAACGATCTTTTTCCGAAATTGCTATGACTCTGCATTTTAAATCTGTGATATCTTCGAAAATATTTATTTAATTTACATGCTGTAAAAAGCCATATTGATCTTTATTAAATGCACAATGTATTTAAGATACTTAATTGGATAAGGATTAATACTGTATTGCTTAAAATCGCTTCGTAAATAAGCCATTATTTCTCGTACAAAGTAAAGGATAAAAAATGGTTATTGTGGGTTATTCCTAAGAGATAAACATATACCATCACGGACTTTTTTGTAGACCTTTTTAAGTTGTACAATACTGTAGTACATTGTTTTGATCTATCTTGTAGGATTCAGTCAGCGTTTGCAATGTAAGCGCAAAAAATGTGTTTTTTTACGACCTCACATTAGAAACCTCAAAAATTGTAGCCTATGTGTTATTCTGATGTATATAAGCTATAGCCTATATGTTATTCTGATGTATAAGCTATATTGTGGTAAAGTTTCATTCAAATCCATTCAGTAGTTTTTACGTGAAAGAGTAACAAACATCCATACATCCATACTTACAAACTTTCGCCTTTATAATAGTAGTAGGATATATACTTATGTAGTCAAAAGAATAAACTTTCATTTCACAATTTTTATTCTTCCATGTCTAAGTTACCTGTTGAACCCACACTTACACAATAACAAACAATATCAACTTACCTCAAACAGCAAGCGCATCACAAAGATGGCGTCCTCCATTTAATCAAATGACGTCATTAACATTCTTAAAGCTTGATCCACACTAGCGTCTTGGGTTATAACTCAAACGCACCGCAACGGCAAATCCTGCTCATTAGTCGTCTCGGCCCACTAATGTGTCCTCGTCCTATAAAGTGGCTTAGAAGCTTCATGTCGTGTACTTCACTTCAGTCATAAGCGTTAATGTTATGTGAAATGATAATGGGGAATGAGTGAAGAATATTTTAGTAACTAGTAGACTTTGTCTTCGTTTTACTTACTTTAGTTAGTTCCTTGTTTGCAGACGAAGAAGGTTGCTTATTTTTGGGTTTGTTCAATTTTCTGTTCCTTTCATTTATTAGAGTTATAGTGTGAATGGTTAATTTTGTATTAGGCAAGTTTGTTGTTACTTTCATCAATAGATGGTGCTAGTAGTCCTAGAGTTACTGGACTAGAAAACAATTTCAGATGTTCTGACATTGACAGTTTAAGTGCTTAAGACATTTAGGTAGTAATTTTTAAAATATCGAAGAGACGTTGTAATTGTTAAGGTTATAAAAGCACTATATACGGGTGACTAGAGACTTCAGGGCTAATTTTTTAAAAAAATATGTAGTTGTATTATCACTTCCCAAAAGGAATATGTCTAGTTAATAGGCACCCCGTATAATAGACCTGTTAGTAAATAACGATAAATAATTGCTCGCAACTCGCAGGGAACTGTTACATTGACATTTTCATTTTGACACTTGATATTTAAGAATAAAGTGAAGCTGAAAATAAATGCTTACTGAAAGGCCATTTTAAACAATGGTATTATTACAACAACTATTCGAAAACTTTCTAGTTGTTTAAGAACTTATCAGAAGATAACAGAAAACTAGTGATTTAGTTCGAATATGCCGTGAACTGTTAATTTAATACCCTTTTTACAGCAAAATCAAATCAAGGATCAGAAAAATAAAAAGAAAGATGAATTTTTGATTAATCTTTACAAAATTAAATAACGTAATATAATATAACATCACGCTTTTCATCTCCGAAGGGCAGAGGTGCTCATCACGGCACGTAATGCCACTGTACAGTGTAACACCCATTTATGTTATGAGTCCCATGTAATAGAGGATGACCCTATTGCATCTACCATGCAAACCCTATAAAATACTTTTCCCTACCATGGAATATAACCCGAGACCCTTTGCCCGACAGTAGAACTTGCGACACTCGGCCAACAAGGCCATCAACAAAATTGAACTTAAATATAAATTGAGGAGATAGTAGTAATTCTCTGAAAAACGCTTGTGAAAAAAATGCGTGACAAAATATCATGTCCTTTGAAATTACAATATCATATTAGCTATTTCAGTATAAACCTTCATCCTACGTATTTCCTGGAAATTACACTAAATATACCATCAAACGAGGCGGTTGTAAGTCCCAGCTCATTAGTGCTTGCTCTCATACGCTTTGTGGCAATATGTTGCGCAATCTTGTTCGTCAAGTATGATTGCAACGATCCTTGTGGGTAACTGCTCATCATGATAGTTGCATATGAATTATGAGGCACTAGCTTCTGCCAGCGGTTTTGCCCGCGTTCCTGTGTGTTAAAGTCTATATGTTATTCCAGATTATAACCTACCCTTGTTCCAAATTTCATTTCGACCTCTTCAGCCTTGACGTGAAGAAGTAACCAAAAACAAACAACCAAACATACAAACAAACTTTCGCGTTTAGTAGTCCTCATTAAAATTCGTCCGTATAGGTATTTTTTCAAATTTCAAAGCGAAGGGGGTAGTGTATGACTGTACTTGCTGCTGTTTTAAAAAGATGTATAAATTATAAATGTATTTGTTTTATAATCCCACAATACTAATGATGTTTATACTCCCATGTAAGGGGGTGAGCCTATTGCTATATACCGCACACACTTTCAGACTCCGTGCTACTACTGAGATTTTTTTTAAAAAAACGTAGTAGTACTTAGCTCGACCCGGAAATCAAACCCGAGACGCCTTGCCCGGCAGTCGCACTTGCGACCACTCGGTTAACAAGGCAGTCTTATTATATTACGAAGCAATGAGGCAGTTTTTTTTATAACATTGGTATTAAATTTCATAATTGTTAAGGAAACTAATAGTTTTGTTAACTTCAAAGAGTTTTTTGTTATTTATACAGTGTACTATGTTTCTTACAGAATGACTAATTTACTTGTTAACTTACATGTGGGTCTGCTTATATTGAACTTTGGACCTTAAGTTCAAAGGCTTTGACCCTTCCAAGAAAGTGTTCGTTGTATGTTTGTCCCTACATCAAAAATTCATAGCAATACCCACAAGATTAGTATGTATATTTAATTGTATTTGCTGACGACAAAATATAGTGGTAGATGCCACTGACCGAAATTCTTTGATATGTAATTTTATGTTCTATTCTTTAATGATAAAGTTGATTTTTCGCTGGAAGTTTTAAAACGTAATTATCTTGATACAGACATTGGTGGGTTCAGTACAAAGATGTTGACATATGACTGTTATTTTTTTGCTAATTCGCATTAGAGGTGCGAGCGTGATGACACCAATTTACCGGTCGTGGTGAAGGTTTTTTCTACAAAAATCTTGTATTCTAGTAAAAGTAACATGAAAAATTCAATTTAAGTTTGGGTTTCCTTAGAATATTCTGAAATTCCTACCTATCTACCTTCCAGGCGACACTATCTCAGCTATACATTTAGCAGTTAAAAATAAGCGATGTATGTATGTGTAAATAGTTAATGATTATTCAATTTAAAAGAAAGAAAACGATACAAAAAACAATAAAAAGCAACATAACTATACACCGTGTTCGTTAGATTACTATTTAAACTGTTTGTAGAATCCTGTAATAGACCTTAATAACTATGAGGACACGAAATCTAACTTTTATAATCCCCTATTACTAAAAAGCACAAGACAGTCATTAAAACAGCCAGATATAATTCTTGCAGTTCCATCTCAGTCGTCATTCCTTTGTACATAGACATGTCTGCAGCAAAGCATTCAGCTTCACGCAAGAAATCCAAACACACTTTGTGACACAAAACGGAACAGACAAAAATGACACATTCCTATTCCTATTCACTCAAAAGACGCAATGTATAACGGTTTGAACGATAACCTTTTCATGACGTAGCGTAGAGGGGGCTACGCCGTAGCTGTGTGCTACGCGCTACATTCCAGTTTGCTACGAGACCCGGAGTGGGGCGGTCGCTTTGCGTTCCCCGTAGCGCTACGCCGCGATGTCCGCGTAAATTACAAGTTGTGTTTTTTAAATGAAAGTTACCGGCTTTAAATGAAAGGGTGCTTTCATTAAGTGTGTAACAGTGAACAGTGGTGGTTAGATGGTAAATTAAAATTGTACATTTGTTTCATTTTGTGTGAGTCGTATCTTAAAAAAGCTCCGTTGTGTTCATTTATTTCAAACAAAGATGTGAACGTCTTGGGTGCTTTTTCTTTTTTACTAATGATGAAAAAATGTGTTCATTTGTTCAGTGAAATACTGAAAGCGCTTTGTTCAAATACAACTAAACCGTAATTTAGGTCCTACTTTCCGATTAAGTTAGTTGCGGGTTCTGACTCAATTCAACTTTGAGGAGAATTCTATCTCAAACTTGGAGTTAGGACTTGGTCCATAGTTTCTTAGATATCTCTATAGCAGTACTAGTATATTAATCGGTTAAATGTAAAATTTACTTTCTATAAAAATGAATTTTATGAAAATTGAATAAGACAGACTTTAGAAAAGCATCACTAGAATACTCTTCACAATGTTAATAAATTAATACATATTATCCGGAATTTTCAGTACATTTTCAAAGTAACAACAAAGGAAAGGCTTCACTTATTCAGGCAATGTTAATTGAAGACCGATTAATTATATGGAACTGTAATAGTTTTGAAGTAATTACAGACACTACGATTTGTAATTGTCTTAGTCGATGTAGTTTGTTTCTATTTATAGGTATTATTTTGATATTTGTTACACAATTTGTAATTTACAACAATTGAAAATAATGTTGAACATGTATTCAAAGTCAAATAACTACAGTTCTTGTTATTGAAATTCATATCAACATGTATTGTTGATACAAAATATTTAAATATTTAGCTTCTCTCATTTAGAAAGATATTTCTATTTATTTAGGAAAGTTATTCAGACGAAAGATAGACCAATTTAAAATAATCTTGTCATACAATTTTACTTCAAATACTTTTAATATTCTCCAAAATCTCTGTACTAAACTAGTAAACGTTTTTCCTCTATAGCTATTTCCTAACACCAACGGAGCGTCTGAACACGTAATTACAACGTCAACATATTTAAAAAAAAGCAAAAAAACACCACATCCTGTACATAGCAAAAAAAAAAATAATAATAAAAGTCGACACGTAAGCAAACACGCGTCCGCCGTAAAAAACAAATGAAAGAGTGCAGAGATTAAATGAATCGTGACTGAAATTAAATGAACATTTAATTTTAAATGAAAGAACACAATATAAAAGTGACTTTAAGTGTAAAATGTACTGTTTTGGGTGAAATCGAATGTTGATCAGAACGGCATGAAGAACGGAAAGACTTACTTTTGGTCTATGCTACAGGCCTTAGCATTGTTACCTACGATGGCTTTGAAGGGTAAGTTTTAATAATAAACTAAGAATAACATATTACTTTAATTAAATTAATATTTATTTCTAAAAGAATAATTAGAGGCGTACTTACAAAATGTTCTCTTTTTACCAGACTCAACCTACCACTCATAATTTTCAAATCCTGTGTTAATAAGTTTTCTAAATGAAAGAAAGATTTCGAAACTCATAACACAGCTAAAATATTAGCTGTATTATTATATATTATAAAGTAGATGCATTGTATACTATTAAGATAACAAAATAAATCGTGCTTATTGTCAAAAATCTACACATTGAATTTCAGTCACTGTAAATCCAAAACTTACTCAACTTAAACACAAAGCCAAAGTCCAGGAAGGCATTATTGAACGTCCATAAAAAAATATTTGTAAGTGAAGCTATTTGCTCAACAATAGTTTGTACTCCTACTACATAAGGAAAACACACTAGTTTATAAATACACCTCAGTAATTTCGTTCTTGATACACCTGGCATAATTTCTCAGCCGTCTTTTATGGTTCCCAGCGGAGGCTTGTAAAAGATACGAGAGTTAAGCACGTATGTTTACCGACGCAAGGATTAAGTACTTAATTTCTTCCATATTTATATTTTAAATGTTTGTGCAAACTATCTTTGTAAATAGAAAATAAATTACATTGCTTTTTGAAGTGATATTGCTTGGGGATATGAACGTGAGATTGCTTTTTGTGTTAATAATTGGTTTTATAGAGATTGGTAACTGTCTCGTTGGTCGAGTGGTCGCAAGTACGATTGCCGGGCACGGGGCCTCAAGTTCAATTCACGGGTCGGGCAAAGTATTACTGGGATTTTAAAAAAAATGTCCGTAGGAGCACGAAGTTTGAAATTGTGCCCGGTATATGGCAATAAGCTCACCCCCTATTACATGTGACTCAGAAGATTTATACTAAAAAATGGGTGCTACATTGTACTGTGGCATTAAGTGCCGTAATGTGCATCTCTGCCTACCCTATCGGGGATAAAAAGCGTGATGATATTTTATGTGCTAAGCATAATTTTATGGAATTTTTTGGGCTTGCGTTTTGATATAGGAGGATCGTATAGAGTTGTAGAGTAGATATCGTAGGATACATCAACAGCCTATAAGTGCCCAATGCTGAGCAAAACCGTCTCCTCACATGAAGAAGGTGTACGATATAGTGGTCGCTAACCATAGGCCTCTCCATGTGTCGTAAGACTGTCCGCTCTGTAACACGATAGAATACATTTGGTCTTTTTATTGGTATTGTAAGATCCAATATTTGTGACTAACCATAACCTGATCCTAAACATCTAACAAGCCTGTCAAACGTGGGGATAATGGCAAACTATCAGTTTTAGAAATCCCCACTTATCTCTTTTTATGGAATCCGATATAAGTCAGTAGAACTATTGTTTTATTTAATATTTATCAAGCTTGCTAGGTATTAATAAGGTGGTGCAGCTAGCTATGAAGAGGGATAGCCCTTTTGGAGATAGGCTCGGAGTCTCTCTGAAGGATAAAATCCGTAATGAGTTGATTCGACAGAGAACTAAAATTACTGACGTAGCCCAAAGAATTAACATGCAGTAATAGCTCTGGACTGTCCATATTTTTCAAAGAACCAACCTTTGGGGTAGACGTTTTCTGGAGTGGAGACCGCGTCTAAACAAATATATTGTAGGGCGCCAGGTGGTATGACGATATCCGCAAAATGGCTGGTGGCAGCTCAACAATATAAAAAAGTAGTAATTTTTTTTGTACTTTTCAACTAAAACACTGAAGACAGGCAGAACCACAACACGAGCGCTAGTGCAAACTTAAACTCAAACTTATTCATTAACGCCAAGCTTTTGGGCGGGCAGTTAAAATTCATATCTTATTAACTAAGCTGAGAACCACTTACAAACTAACTCGTAACTTAGTCGAGCTTAATTATTATATAAACCGCACCTAATTTAAGCGCTTCGTAATTTTTGGATTACATCTCTAATAGATTTTGATTGAGTGCTTCATTGATTTGTAAAGTCTTATGTTAAATTTTTAGTGAGTTTTTAATTGTAAGTACATCGTACTATAGAATTGGATTAAAGAACAGTGTAAGATTAGATTACCATTGATGATTAAGTATGGGAGAGCCATGCTTCGGCACGAATGGGCCGGCTCGACCGGAGTGATACCACGGCCTCACAGAAAACCGACGTGAAGCAACGCTTGCGTTGTGTTTCGTCGCGTGAGTGAGGTTACCGGAGGCCCAATTACCCTCCACTTTCCCGATCTTCCCAATTCCTGAATCCCCAACGATCCTTAAACTCCTAATCCCCAAAAGGCCGATAACGCACTTGTAACGCCTCTGGTGTTCCAGGTGTCCATTGGCGACGCCGATTGCTTACCATCAGGTGATCCGTCAGCTCGTTTATTCTAAAAGCTCTAACACCAGTAAACATGTTGTAACCTATAAATAGTCTCGAGCAATTTTTTCCTCGATAATGTAGCGAACTGTCAACCATAGAACTAGCCACGTCCGTTCAATATTTCATACTACAAGTGACAGGTAATGACACCTATTTCTTCCCCCTCTAGTAACGTTACGCACGTTCGAACCTGTTATAAATCTGCGGTTCCATGTTTTCTGTAATCGGACGGTATTGTATTGCAATTTCTACTTTGTGTTATTGTATTTTATAGTTGCAATTTTGTTGAACCGGTAAAATATAAATGGGTATGTAATGATAAATTTGTTAGTGATAATAAGATTGTTATTGAGATAATTGAATTTGGATCTATTAACAGAACAATAAAGCTGTTAATTGCTGCTGAGAGGTCTGGAATTGTGTTTGGTATTTTGTAGTATAGACTGGTGTAGCCAAAAATATAACATAACATCACACCTTTTAGCTCCGGCAGTGATTCACATTACAGCACTTAATGCCATTGTACAATGTAACATTCACTTTTCACTATTTATGTCATGAGTCCCATGTAATAGGGGGTGAGCCTATTGCCATATATCGGGCACAATTCCAAATTCCGTTCTAATACTGAGATTTTTTTTTAAAAGACAGTAATAATTTTCCCAATCCAGGAATCGAACCTTAGAAACACTCAGTCAACGAGGCAGTGTACCCAAAAAATTAGGCAAAAACCTAATAAGTACTCAAACGGGTGATATTGTTCAAAATCAAATGCACTTCACGACATAGACGGTAAAATCTTTCCAAATAAGTGAACTACACACTTCAATCAACTTTGAGAGCACAAAAGCGTACCACACAACTAACATAGATACATACATAGTAACTGCTATAACACATAGTACAAAACTTCCTCTATCCTAATTCGACGTACTCCCAAACACGAACAAGGCGTTTTTGTGTGAGCCCCATGGATTAGCATTCGGTGACAGGTGCAAACTGCCGCGGAACCGTCACACCGGCCTTGCTCATTTTATGTAACTTTATTTTATTGTTCTTTTAGACCTCTTTGTTTATCGTTCACATTTATAAACGCCATTGTTAGAGTATTGTTTTAGAGAGGGTCTGTGATTTGAAGGCAGAGGAAAAGATAAGAAAGATGTTACTATTACTAGTTATGTGGCTGCAAGTGTGAGGACTCAGCTTAGAATTCTAGGTTAGGAAACTGAGGCAATAGATATTATGTTATTTGGTTTGCGTAATTTTAAGTAGCTGATATTAGAATGATGATGATGATGTCGTAGTCGCTCGGAGGTTTAAAACCGCTTCTCATGGATGAGATTGCGGCTTCGAAACCTACCAACGGCAAGTGACTTTTTCCGAGTCATATGTACTTTTTAAGTTTATCTTGACACCACTGACAAACAGTGAAGGAAAACATCGTGAGGAAACCTGGGCTTATAATTTCTAATTATTAGCTTGTAATCACCAACCCGCATTGAGCACGTGGGGTGATTAATTAAGTAATGCTCAAACCTTCTCCGTGTGAGAAGAGGCTTTGTTCAGCAGTGGGCATTTATAGGCTGATGATGTTGATGATGATGATTTTAGAATTCGATGTGTAGGATTTTGATTCTAGGGTCGGATAAATTATTTAAATCGGTAATGGCATAAAATGAGAAATAGTTTTCCGTGATTGGAAATTGGTTCACCCTGAATAAAATTACGGCTTAAACTGGCGTATAAGGATAAGTAATGAAGGTACTCTCGTACGAGTACAATAACAGGGATTATTGGGTACTATTGATAACAGGACTAAATTTTATGGTAAGACTTCTTTCTTGTTAACCCCAATCTTGGGGATAAGGAGTTTGAGGATTGGTGGGGATTCAAGGATTAGGGAGATTGGGGAAGGGGAGAGGGGTAATTGGGCCTCTGATAACCTCACTCACACGACGAAACACAACGCAAGCATTGCTTCACGTCGGTTTTCTGTGAGGCCGTGGTATCACTCCGGTCAAGCCGGCCCAGACGTGCCGAAGCATAGCTTTTCCATACTTCTTCTTTCACTTCTACAACAGAAAAGGCATAGAGGCATATCTTTTGATAAAGCACCGACAAAATACTTGTAAAAGAATAATAATAAGGTTCGTTTCAGCTTATACTTTTCATCGCACATTCTTTTATATTTATTTAGCAGCAAAAAGTAACATATTATCACCGTTTTAAAAGCTAAGCCTCCTAATCTTGCCATAAAGGGTTGACCAAAGGCTCGCACAACAAAACGGGGCGAGCCCAAGAGAATAATATAGTTAGTAAAGAGTGGAGCTGGCGTGTTTTTCTGTTACAAGAGTAACTGTTCTATATATTTAAATCACAGTCAATATCCGTTACTAAATAACAGGTATTGAGAAGATCATATTTTCTGTGTAATATTAATTTTTAAACCATTACTTGTTATCGAATTTTGCCTGTTATTTCAATGGTGACTGTGTTTGTGATTTGAGCTGTGGTTTACCTGTGGGTACTAATAAAACGTAGTTTTGAATTCACAACAACGACTAATCATATTTTTATTTCCAATAGACAAACAAAGACCAATTATACCATAGATAATCAATAGTAAATTTAGGTACATACTGTCGGTAATAATGACTAAAACTAAAAACTACACATAACATCACGCCTTTTTTTCCCGAAGCGGTAGGCACATTATGCCACTGTACAATGTAACACCCACTTTTCACTATTTATGTTATGAGTCCCAAGTAATAGGGGGTGAGCCTATTGCCATATACCGGGCACAATTCCAGACTCTGTGCTACTACTGGGTATTTTTTGAAAAATAGTAATATTTTGCCCGACCCGGGAATCGAACCCGAGGCCCCTTGCCCGGCAGTCGCACTTGCGACCACTCGGCCAATGAGGCAGATTGGCCTTTGATCTTTAATGACAATTGATACAAATCTCAGCTCATGCTCAATTTCATGTGGACTAAAGAGTTTCAATATCGATATTAATGTAGTTTTTGAAAATATATATATTCCCTTTATTATTTTCATTATTGATATTTTTAAATATTTAATTATAAAAAACAGCGGCCCACCAGTAACAGGAGAAATCCAAGCTATCAGAACTCCAGAGAAAGGAATTTCAGGACATCCATCTGGGCTCCAGAGAAAGGATTTAGAAATACCTACTGCTTTCTGCATTAGGCTCTTAACCCAACCATCTAACGAAAGCCTACTCTGATTTTGGTCGAGACTTTTAGCAATGATGCCATTGGCAGATACGACTATCGGTACTATGATGGCTGAAACCATATAATTAATCACACTTCAACAAGCGTTAAGTTTATCATACCAAAATATACCATTAAATACTTCACCATCCAACTACTGAGAATTTCAAAATCAACACACTCAATTATAACCTACACCATCGTATCTATACTTAATACAAATAGCCTTCAAAGACAAATTTCGCCAAGTTCTCAACTTCCGCATTCGATTCGTACAAAAAAAATCATAGAAAATAAAGGTTCATTTGTTAACTACCTGAACTTTCAAACTTCAAAACTAGGTTATAACTGAGAGACTCCTGTAGTTAGTCACCTCATCAATGATGTGCCATTGATAATTAAATTTAGACTCTATTTCCAAGAACCTAGGTCTTAGTGTGGTTCACAAGAAGTTGTATAGTTAATTATTTAAGGAAATTGATTATTTTAATGCTTCAAGTTGCTTGAAAGATATTTATGATAGCGAATAGACAATTTTACACATAGCGAAGCATCACGCCTTTTATCCTCGAAGGAGTAGGCTGAGTTGCACATTACGGCACTTAATGTCACTGTACAATGTAACACCCACTTTTCACTATTTATATTAAGAGTCCCATGTAATGGGGAGTGATCTTACTGCGCCGGACTTCAGTGTTCCGGTGTTTTCATAGTTGTATACGTTTGCATAGGTTTTGGGAGGTTATGGAGGGCTTGTCCCACTAAAAAATAATACTCTTTCAAAGAATATTAAACTTAATTAGAACATACTATGGTTCCATTCCACACAAAACAACGGATTTACACAAAACAGCAATTAATCTTAAAATCCGCTGACTATTTACACATCAATGTTTAATCTATTGTTGGAAAACTGCCAAACAAAGTAATTTGTGTATAAATAATACATAGTTTTAAACATAAATCATTTTATTCGATGTTAATTCACTTATTTTCATACAATTTGCTGTGGTAACGTTTAAATGCGTTTAATGGACTGGGTGTACCGCATTTTCATCGATTTTTGTTGTACAGCGATTTCAATTCCTGAAGGGATCACTGATATTCCCCGTGATTTATCTTATATCAGTTTACCTAAAAATCTGATATAGTATTATTTGAACTATATAAACGATTTGTTATAGTAGTTTATGATGTAAATCATTTAAGACGTAATATAACACATAACGCTTTTTGTCCCCGGAAGGGTAAGTAGACTGAGGTGCACATTACGGCATTTAATGCCACTGTACCAAATAAGTAACACCCACTTTTCACTATTTATATTATGAGTCCCATATATGCTATATACCGGGCAAAATTTCAGGACTCCGTGCTTTAAAAAAAAAGTCCGTAAAGCACTACGTAGTAGACTGAGATTTAATAAAAAACTTATTAATACTCTGCCCGACCTGGGCATCGAACCCGAGATCCCCTGCTCGGTAGTCACACTTGCGAACAGTTAACCAGAATTTTGCCGGAAGAGAATAGTCTTTTCCTTAAAAAGAAAGAAACCAATATATTTGGTTTGAATCATAGGATTCAAACCAAATATCCTGGTTTATTTTACTTTGAGTATGTAATAATAATTGTGTCAACAATAAAGCTAATTTCACCAATTTTTCCAAACTTCTTCATCTATAGCTACATACACACAATCACACACACACACGCACACACAACACACACACAACACACCAGTATCATTTCACACTTTAACAATATACAAAACAAACTCACTATCCATGAACTCGGAACTTCTACTATCTAACTAAATATTATACCAAGTACCTACATACTATGAATCAAAACTACATAGATCAACATTCCCTAGATGTGGCAAACTTTGAAGTGATCAATGTAAATGAGAACGCTCCGGGAAGCTGTCAAAACACAGAACAGTTAACCGCTTGTATTTGGTGAATTGTAACGAGACTGGAAGTGGTAATGGAAGTGAGTACTAGATGAAACATGGCTTCATAAAATCTAGTGGGATTGGAGATCCTTGTTAACCTGTTGTTGGTTAGGTGGAATCAATAATGGTAGGCAATCATAATAAACGATTTACTTCGAACGTTTCAAGTAAAAAAACACTTTTTTAAGGAGTAAAAGATATCAAAATTAAATGTCCTCTCCTGCCTTGAGTGATGCAAAAGGGAAGAATCTTACTGAATAAAACCATCCGTTCCTACTTCTGCCCTTACGCCGGAGCCCTGGTAACCCGTTAAGTCTTCTTAGAACGTCTCAAATAGAAGTTGTGACCAATGCTATACATCAGGTACAACCTCAAAATACCTTACTCAAACCGAATAGAAAATCCAAGGTCACGACTCCCTCAATTTTACCAATGAACCAGTTTTGTCATAACGAAAAAAAAATCTCTTTAAGCATTACATTTTTTTCAGTCAACAATTAAAGAAATTATCCACAGGAGCATAGCTCATGTCAGTAAAAAAAAACAACAAAAGACAATCTGTGACTGAAATTCCTTTGTGAACAAAAGCGACTTTCATATAAAAGACAAGTACATACTCTTCAAAAACGTCAGTTTAAAACTTCAAAAAAATCAAGAGTATCAAAATATGTACGTGAAAAAAATACCTGTCGTAGTATAAAAATAGACGCAACGGAAAAGCCTTTGGTACAATTTACACTTTCTCGATCGGATGACGTCAGAGCTGTGTTGGAAGTTAAAAAAAAGTATAAAAAATGCACGTTGATTGGGTCTCGGAGACCTGATACTGAGTTTTGAAGTGTTAACTAGTTTTTTTTAGCTGACAACTTTATTAGTTCAGTGTTTAATGGCCTGTTGCGTCCCATGATAGGAAAAGGAAAAAGATTGATGATATGAAGGTCTGTTCACTGGTTCTATTTTTAAAATGTGGACAGTATCTTTTAATCTATTTCTATTAGTGACTACCTCGTCGGGCCAGGAGTCTCGGGTTCGATTCCCAGGTCGGGAAAATATTACTGGGTTTTAAAAAAAATCTCAGTAATAGCACGGAGTTTGGAAATATGCCCGGTATATGGCAATAAGCTCACCTCCTATCATACGGGACTCATAGCATAAATAGTGGAAAGTGGATGTTACTTTGTACAGTGGCATTAAGTGCCGTAATGTTATGTTATGATGTTATGTAGTTAATAGTGTCAGATATGTCAATGTTCATGGGAATTTAGTGGTCCTTAAGAGATTAGTTTCATACTATAATACTAATATTTCATATAGTTACTACCGATCAAGTAACATCATCACTTCCAACAGGTACTCCTGCTTTTATAGAATAATTATATCATCAAACTCTAACAATCCGTAATATGTTGTTTCAGATTCACAAATGACAACAAAGAAGTTCTCAGAAGAGCCTGAATTCGAACGTCCAATAGGAAACCACACGTTCTTCTTAGGAAGAGAAGCTGTTCTCGGTTGTGCTGTCACGAATCTTGGTAAACATAAAGTAAGTACAGTTTCTCAATATTTACAGAGTAAAACAAAATTGTATTCCAAGTTATATTTGCACTGAGTATCTATTACTACAAAAGAAATTAATAACAAATCGAAAATCCTTACTGCCCTAATCACCGTTATCATCCTCAGCCTGTACCTTACTGTTTCATTGCTCAAAGGTGTCTTCTTACACGAAGAATTGCGCAATCACCAGATCTGCTCTGAACCGTAATCAACATTATTCTATCGCTGTCACCCAAAAAGTAGCATCATATAGATGGTTGGCAGGCCACAACTGTGCGCTCTTCGCGTAGCTTTCTGCCTGTCACAGAAAAACTGTGGAATAATCTGTCATCGGCGGTATTTTCAAACCGATACGACCTTCAAACCTTCAAGAAACGACTATATTCCTTTTTAAAAGGCCGTCAACACACTTGTGACTCCTCTAGTGTTGCAGGTGTCTATGTGCAGCGCTGATAGCTTACCATCAGCTGATAGCTTTCCTCGTTTGCCTCCTATTCCATAATGAAAAATCATTTAACTCGTCGAGTACCGGTTTTGCAGACACAATTATGGAACAATAGGTTGCGGTCACCGGTGACCGCTTGGTGTTTGACAGTTTAAAGTAATAACTTTACCCCAAATACGGAAAGTAATAAACAGCTCAATAACCATATAGGTTCCTTAATGATTAAAGTTCCTAGTTTTCAATGCAAACGCGTTTCGTTAATGTGGGTTTATCACGATATACGTCATTAACCCAAGCTGGTGTTATCATTATCACAGGTCGGGTAATGGATTTTAATTTTAAAATGATTGCTGTGTCCGTGTTTTTGATTGAAATCATTGTAATGAGAGATGGGGGATGATAAATCTGAAATTTTGTGTGTTGTAATAATTTTATTACCTGTAAATTAGTTTTACTTACGGCTGCGAAGGTATTTACCGAGTACTTTCTAAGATTATCTAGACACCATTGACAAACGATGAAGGAAAACATCGTGTGGAAGTCTGGACTTTACATTTTATAATTATAAGTTTGAAAATGCCAACTTGCATTGGGCAAGCATGGTTATTAATACTGAAACGTTCTCCGTGTGAGAAGAGGCCTTTGGTTAGCAGAGGCCATTTAGAGGCTGTTAATGTTTGTAATGTGATGTGAAGGGATTTTAACAGTCTTTTTTATTTCTGTCGGGATAGAGTAAGACTGGAAGAATATCTTTCTAATAATGTAAATTGAAGTTTAAATCGTTACAACAGGCACATCAAGATGAGTTCTTCTTGTATACTATTAAGTATCTTGAATATTACATAATATAACATCACGCCTTTTATCCCCGAAGGGGTAGGCAGTGGTGCACATTACGCCACTGTGTAATGTAACACCCACTTTTCACTATTTATATTATGAGTCCCATGTAATAGGGGTGAGCCTATTGTCATATACCGGGCACAATTCCAGACTCCGTGCTACTAGTGAGATTTAAAAAAACCTGTAATACTTTGCCCGACCCGGGAATCGAACCCGAGACCCCTTGCACGGCAGTCGCACTTGCGACCACTCGTCCAACGAGGCATCAAAAATATATTACCGATATTTCACTTTATATGCTTGGGATACCTACAAACAGTGCTGGTATTGTGTGTTTCAGCCTTTTAGGTCCAAACAAAAGACTATCTAGACCGATGACCTTGATATTGTTTCTTTTGTCTAACGTCTAACCTGTCGGTTGAGTTCTAGTATCGATGATCAAGGTCTGACGTCTACAACAGAATAATAGATATTAGTTCTTTTATTTACTGAAAAGGGTTTGGTGGACGTGTAATTAGAGGGTATCTGGTTGATATGATGGGTTTAAGCAGGTAATAGTAGATAAGAGTTTTGACAATAACCAGTAATCTTAAGATTTTTATGCGATAAGCCAGTAAACGAAAAGACGGACCTGATGGTAAACAGCTATTGGCATCACCCATGGACACCTGGAACACCAGAGGCGTTACAGGTGCGTTACCACGTTTTTAGGGATTAGGTATTTGAGGATTGTTGGGGATTCAGGGTTTGGGTTTCCAGTAACCTCACTCATACGACAAAATAACGCAAGCGATGTTTCACGTCGGTTTTCTGTGAGGTCGTGTTGTCACTCCGGTCTAGCCTGCCTATTCGTGCCGAAGTATAGGTCTCTCACACTTATACATGGTTTGTTAGAATACTGATATCCTCAAATATTAAATCGTATGAATCAATGTTCTATTATATACATTCAGTTTGTATAAGAAGTCTCGTGATTGGTGCAAATCAAATAGTTCAATTTGAAAACAATAAAAGTATTGCTGTAGATAAAGATCAATTATGGTAAACTAGTGTTAAAAAATTTAACTTTCGCGATAAAATAACTAAAACTTATGTTTTAGTAAGAGCCCGAATTAAGTCATGGAAACTATTTCAAGACAATTTAGTGCCTAAAAAGCCCCAGCTGAGACAATGCACGTAAATGCACTAACTTAACAACTTTCCGGAGATATTTCACCCTATATTTAGTCACAGTTTAGCTATCCACAAGTTGTAGGACAGCCTGTATTACGCCAACATGGCCGCCAACTATAACACCTTGGAAGCCAACACTTAAAGCCACTTGTAAGCTAGTTGCTAACATGTTTCAAACTTCCACACTTATCTTGATATATCGCCAATAACCAACGTACATGGCCCAACTTGTTCCACCTATAAAATTAACATCAATTTGTATTTAGAACGTTAATATTCAAATGTTTTTTTCGCAAATTAATGGGCGTATTTTCTTAGAAAGTTGCCATACTTTCAGCTTTAGAGAGCCATAAATATTGCCTGGAAGTTTCTGGAACAATTATTAAGTTTCTGTTTCGCAATGAAGTGTGAAATTCTTGGAAAAAAGAATATTGTTTGTACTGTGCAAATAATAGGGTAAGTAAGATATTTTATACGCTACCTAGTTTTTTTAGGTAAACCCTAGGAGGTACGAGGAAAATATAATTATAGCAACAAAATATTCCCAAATGCATGAATACTTACATACAAACACCTTAGTACCTTTTAAGAGATGTTTATTCGTCTCCCAATATTTTGTAAATAAAGATAAAACTGTAAATAAACAAAAGAAAGCATCAAAACAAACAATAGAACAGCTATAGTAACATCAAACTCTTTTGTTATAATTGGATATTACACATTTCTACAAAAAGTGCCCTTAAAAATAACAAAGAAATCGCAAATAGGATTATAAAAAGACCGTGATTAGCTGTATCCCAAACAGTAACAATACAGAAAAAACCCGATAAATATCAAAACAAAAATCGTAATAAGCTTCCCTTAAACCCGAAACAATCTCGAAACACGGAAAAAATTCTCGCGAAAAAAAATTAACGTCGAAATAGCCGTGTCTAATACGGAAAACGGGCACTGGAAACGAAATCTTTGTGCCTTTGTCTGTGGCAATTAGAGGCACAAAAATTTACCGATTATCCTTCATTAAGAGTTGTTACACTGGTTGCTTCGGTGTCTAGAATAACAATGCACGAAATAGTGCTGCACCTTTCCACGTCGTGAATTTTAATTCCAGTCGGTACATGCGAAGGCTGAATGCCGTACAATTCTTTGTTGTCTTTGCTTCTTGCTTTCTTTTAGCTTAGCTCCTTTCGTGATTTTATCTTATTGTTTGTGGCTGCTATTTCTGCCATGATTATGTGAATTTGTTTTTGAGATGAAACGTATATAGAGTTTTCTAATTAAACACCTTTACGGGAATCTTTTTCCTGGTTTCTTTTGTTTATAAATTATTTTGCTGTGTCTCTGAAATGGGTAGTACCTTAATCGGTTCTTGTTATATCGCCCGAGAGAAAAGTTTTTGTGAAAATGCTCACTGCCCACCACATTACCATCTTCTCTCATCTCATCATTATATTTATTACCGATAAAAACAAAGTTGAAAGCCAATAAACATTTCACTAAAATACAACACAAAAGCTTTCTCAAAGAATTTCCTATAAAATACAAGCGTAACCTAAATGTGAAAACTGGCGATATTTACGGCACAAAATGTCCGATTGAACCCCCGGAAGAAATTTGACAGGCCTGAAAACTATCAGGAATGGAAGATAAGAGCTAAACACAAAGGGATTCGAAGGGCCGTGGACTTAACTGGGACTCTGACCCAGTAAAGAAATCTTCGACAGTGATATGAAGTGATTGAAGTGATTTTCGACTAATATCGTTTTTTATTCTGTAAATGATATTATTTTTGAATTTGTTTTGCATGTTACAGAAGAACTGTAGGAACAATAAGATAGATTTATGGGTTTATCCTGTCGTGAGTGCAATTAGAGTATTATTGAAATCTTCAGGCTTGATTCTTTCTGTTTTTATAGAATTATGATACAAAGATAGTTATTTATTATCTGTGTCGTGTCGTGTAATGTTATGTGACTTGGCAGTTGATGGGTAGCACCATGATTGCCAAGTGGAAATTTTCCATCGTCAATGGGTAGCGGTTCTGGCAACAGATTGATGCAATGGTGTCATGGAGCACCTGGTTTTATACCTTTGTATACCCTTAAACGGCAAAGTCACACAACATTAACTGTAATAATAACGAAATCGCAATAAGGAACCTTAGACTTGGCACGACTTTGTTATATTCCATTACTTTTTAAAGATAAACTAGCAGCTCCATCGAGACTTGTCTAGTTTTTTACAGAATGTTTTGGTGGGATCCATTTGACGTAACATTTTTATGTGACAAGGGGCCAAACCTACTGAGAGGCACTTGATGGTAGGTGATTAGCGTTACGCAAATAATACGTGAATGCTACTATCAAATATGGGGGCTTGAGAGCCAGTTCATCTGTTGAAAAAGTGCCTATCTATTATTATTGTACACGATATTGATTTCTAAATTCAAAGAAATAGGGTTTCACATCGTGTCTAACTAAAGAAGTCAAGAGACTCATAAAAAACCTCCTATAATATTTCTGTCTATTGGATAAATAAATAGTACCGACACTTAATTAGGTCACAAGCTAAAACAAATGAAATTACTCATATATTGTTGTTTATACATTTCTTTTGAACAAAGAATATTTTATATCATTACTGTCTTTAGTTTATCTGAAATAGACTTTAAGTACCTAACTACTAAGTCGCAAATTCGCTTTCTTTAAACTGTTAAAAGAAAACTAATAATGTATTATGTTCTATCTAATAGTATTTAGTTAGTATTTTTTTATTTATTTTCTTGACAGACGCAAATAAATTTATCCTTATTGTTTACGGGAATGTCTCTTTTAATGCTATTTGTTATTACTTCGAAGAATTTGTGACTAAGACATCTTTACAGACGTAACATAACATTACGCATTTTATCCCCGAAGGGGTAAGGCAGAGGTGCACACAGAAGTAACACCCACTTTTCACTATTTATGTTATGAGTCCCATGTAATAGGGGGTGAGTCTATTGCCAGCGGTGCACATCACGATGTGCACCTTTGCCTACCCCTTCGGGAATAAAAGGCGTTATGTTATTTGTTACGTGTGTGAAGATTTAATCATAATTTTATATTGGAAGCTTGGTTGTAGTTCCAATAAATAAGAAATGAATTATATTCAACATCTTATTGCTTAGAAGTTAAAAATCCATTCTTACCCACAATTTCTTTTAGAACAGACACTATAGCCGTGACCAGGTGCAGTGATTTCCCGACTATTACGAACGAACAATTTGTTCTATAAAATTGGAACCATTATTTACCACCTGGACTTGTGATAAGCACAAGCATTAAAACTGTAGATTTCTTAGCCAATTACCGAGAATACTTTTCTAAGTCTATTAGAATCTGTGGTAAGATGTGATTTTACTGATAAATGGTTCGAGTTCTTCAGTAGACAAATTGATTAGAATAAATATTGTTTGGTGATTTAGCATTATATTCTCATGGAAACGAAAATCGAATAGAGAACGTTAACGGTATACCATTGTCGATTCTTAAAAAAAAAATACTATTGTCGACTATACAAAAAAGTATATTTTCTATAACTAAAAACTTTATCATTGTGATTTTTTTATGGTATAAAATGATGGTAAGCAATCGGCGTCGTCCATTTAACCGAAACACCAGAGGCAATATAAGTACGTTACCTGTCCTTTAGGAATTAGGAATTTGAGAATTGTTGGAGATTCAGGTATTGGAGAGATTGCGGGGAAGGATAATTGGGCCTCTGGTAACCTCACTCACATCACGAAACGCGACGCAAACGTTGTTGCACATCGGTTTTCTGTGAGGCTGTGGTATCTGGTTATTTTTAACTACTTTACTAATTCAATATAAAAAGAACCAATGACAACTTTAAAAAGAAACTTACAGCACTCTTGTTAAACAAATGTTATTACTCTGTGTCTGATTATTGAGCTGATAAATTATAACTGTGTCATAATATGTCTGATGATGAACCTGCATCAATGTTTGCATGCCACCTTATTGTAAATACCTACATTTTGAGCAAATAAATAATTATTCTATTCTATTCTATCTGCCACTTAGTCGATATAAAAAGTTTTAACTGCCAATTAAAATTTTGTGTAATGTGGTTGCTGAACACTATTCGATATTTCTTTAAAGGTTTGATCTAGTAAGGCTTAATGAATTATCTGACTTTCCAAAAAGCTCCTATATAACTAACCGTAGTAGCTTATCAATAACTCCTTATCCAATAAATCTACATCTGTGGCTTGAAACTTAGCTAATACTTTACATAATTTCAGAGAACCTTTATATATGTAGGTCGAAGCCGACTAACAGGTTAGCAACACAGTCCCAAAATTAATCTCCCGTAAACCCTTATTTAGCCCAAAAAGTTCAAAACTAACCTTGGCATTAAAATTATTCTAGTATAAATTACTTTGGGAGGAACCACTTCTATATTTTAGCATAAACACAGTTGAACCAACAAATATTTTGACTCAACTCGAAAGTTATTCTTCAGTATTTAATAACTGAGCTAGGAACTCTGTGATTCGAAATGTTGTAACTGTTGATGGACGATATTATACAGATAGTCTTCATGCTTTAAAGGTTTAAGAGTCAAATAAGTTAGCTTTTGGATGAAAGTGTACAATTTGACTTGTTAATTAATATACCTAAGTGTGGGAGAACCATGCTTCAGCACCGACCGGAGTGATACCACGGCCTCACAGAAAACCGGCGTGAAGCAACGCTTGCGTTGTGTTTCGTCGTTTGAGTGAGGTTACCGGAGGCCCAATTACCCCCAATTACGCTCCCCTTCCCCAATCTTCCCAATTCCTGAATCCCCAACGATCCTCAAACTCCTAATCCCCAAAAGGCCGGTAACGCACTTGTAACGCCTCTGATGTTCCAGGTGTCCATGGGCGACGCCGATTGCTTAACATCAGGTGGTCCATCTGCTCGTTTACCGGCTTATGCCATAAAAAAGAGTCCATATAGGTTATTATAGTTTATTATAACAAACAATATCTCGAACAGTCTAATATGAATGTCTATCAGTTGCAACTTCTACTTTGTAGACTAGAAACTTCTTTGTCTTGAAACTATTTTCATCAGACAGGCCTTATGCTTGTTTAGCAATTTTTCTGAAGTGCTTCAAGAGATATAAATCTCCACATTCATCTGAAGTCAGTATATGTTCTATGTGCCCTAATAAGTCTTACATGTTTGCGTTCTTTTCCAGGTAGGCTGGCTAAGAGCAGAAGACCAGACAGTCCTCACGATGCACGACAGAGCTGTTCTAAGCGCACGGTACTCAGTACACATGGATGCTCCAAGGACTTGGCAGCTGAGGATCAGGCCTCTGAGGGCAGAGGACCGTGGTTGCTACATGTGCCAGATCAATACGCAGCCCAGCATGAAGTGGCAGATTGGGTGCATCGATGTTTATGGTACGTGAAATAATTCTTCTTTTATGTGAATCATTTTAATGACTTTTGTATACAAAAGTTATGATATCAATATAGTTATGATATCAGGTATGTTAAGTATGGATAATATCTACGAAATGGGTTTTAATTAATTATTGTCATAGCTTTAGGTTAATTTCGAGAAAGTTTTTCATAGTTTTAGACGTAGTAATTCAGGTGTATCTGTGTATATTCATGCGAAATACATTTTACTTGCAAAACTTTCATGTAACTACAATTTAATTGTACTGAGAAATTAAAGTTTTTGCCTGAAATAAGGTGAAATGCCAGGAATTTTGGCAGAACATCACAAAATCCATTTTAGGAACTTCTATGTCATTTTATCATTCTTAGTAAATTTTCAGACACCTACTTCGGTTACACATTAATTCATTTCGCCAATATTTTAGTAGGCTATCGATAAATTAGGATTTGTGTAGATACCCTGCTCAAATTATGAGACATTTTCATTCTCGAGAGAAGCTCGTGGCTAAGTTACAATTTTTGAAATAATCCAACTTAAAGTGTCGGACTGGACTGTAGTTGATACTAGTTTTAAAAATTGACTATCGTCTTGTTTCGATCCAAGCCTGACTATCACTGCAAGAAAAATTGCAAAGGACACTTTTACTAATATGTCAATTTGGGATGATTGGTGAAACCGGCCATAAGTCTGACAATTTTACCTCAATATTCCATGTTTGCTAGGTGTTGTGGATAATTTCTACTGCTTTTACTTCAGACTATCACTATTGTGTGAATATAGTAATAATATGTGTCGTCAATGACCATCGGATAGTTATTATAATTTACAAAAACAAAGAATAATATAAAATCTACCAGTGTTAAACTACCTATTTCTATCTAATGTAGTGAGATAAATTTCCAATCTAGATTCAGTTGGCTACCGCATTTGAACGAGGGCTGACAACCCATTCGTCACCTGTCAACCTTTTGCTGTTGAGTCTCGGGTCTTATAACTCCGCGACACTACGAATTTGCTTTTAATTTTATTTTATTGTAACTATTTATAGAAAGTTCATGATTAAGTTAAAGAAATTGAAACTTTAAGTTTGAAGACTAAAGTTACTCTTCGTCTATTTTTTGTTTATTCTTTGAAATTTTAACTTTTGAATTAGTGTATCTTGTTTGATAAATGAAATTATAAACTGTGTGATAATTTGTTGGGTTAATTCCCAGATCAGAATTTCAGCTATAGACTTTAACCTGCCAGTTATTAGAACTAGTAACATGACTTTAACTGTGTTATGTTAACTTTTCCTCTAAGTGTGCGTCAATATATGGGAAATGCGCAACTCACGAGTTGCATGCGAGCTGCGCACGTGCATTTCAAATTTTTCTTTATACGAAGTTGCTATGCATTGAGCATCAAAAAATTGCCGTGAATTGCTTGCGAGCGACTCGCGAGCTGCACATTCGCCATATGTGGACGCACCTTTTCCATCTTATACGAATTACATACATGATGTTCTGCAGCTTACATTTCACCATATAAGAACACAATGACATTTAAAACCTGCAAAATAACATTTCACCCCTAATTCCAACATAGATCAACCAATTAACGCAAGGTTAACAACTTAAACGGGTCTTTTTATCTATTCTAAGTGACGGATAGGGAGCTTATCCAGTACGCGGCCGGTATTAGGCGGCGACCGTGCCTAAACCTACTTAATCCGACTAAGAATAGATTAGAAACGTCTTGAGTATATAGGTCACTCAGTTTAAGTGACAGGTGTGGCTTCTTAAATAGCGTGTGGTGCAGTCCCGTACAAGGTGGGTTTTATTGGGATTATGGGTTCTTCGTGGGGTTAAATTACTGGTGGGTTGTTTTTATTTATCTTATATAAGTAATTTCTGCCGTATAATCGTAGTATTAGTTTACATTATTGTGTACACACAAATTTTAAAGTTCGACCCGGGTTTACAAGTGACATATTGTTTGATTCGATGGTCAAAGATATATCTTTCAACGTACTTCATCGTAGCCCGCATCATCGCTTACCACCAGACAAAATAGTGATCAAACTTCAGCCTATCAAATGTATAAGCAATAACTTTTTAGGTGGTATCGCAGGTACACAGTAACATGGTTGATTAGGCTTAAACCAAAAACGTAATAAAACATAATTATGTATTTAAAACATAATTATTCAAGTTTTTATAATGACTATCGTGAGACATACTAAATTAACTAAAATCGCGGGTTACTCACGGGAATATACTCATGTACACAAAGCACCGCTAATTAGTTCGAGGCGCTACACATCGACATTACTATCATTTACACAGTGAACATGTGTGGGTAATTTCATATTAATAGATATGTATAGAAACATTCGTTCTATCACACACATCTTGGTATTACATATCATTTTTGTGTCGGTATACGTAATATTTTAGTAAATAAGTTTAAATAAAAACGAGGGTAAAGATAAAAATACTCATAACAAACTTTGAATAAATCGAAATCAAAAATAATGAACGATCGAGCAATACAATACTTATATAAATATAGTGCATTCTCATTGTATTTTTATGTTACTGAATGATATACAATATTTCGATGTTCTCATCTACGGCGCGCTTGGCGCAATGGTTATCGCCTCCAGTGGTCAAGTAAAGTGCCACCGGATCGATTCCAGCATTCACATGTTGTTTTAGTATTAATTAATCAAATATTTGAAATGTGAAATTAGAAACAATTAAATCTTTTCTTTTTTTCCTATCCTATTTTTCTAAATCTTATGTTAATTTTAATAGTAAATACTTTAGATTTATTTATACCTATAATATCCTTTATTTATATTTTAGTTCTAGTTATTTATTATTTAGAATAATTTAGAATGATTGGAAGAACTTTAAAGTTAACATGTGGTATATAATTAATTATTAGATATAAATATTGAATATAAAACCACATATTTGTATAATTAATAAATTAATTTTAATAAAAAATAGTATTGTTTTATTTACCGACTGATTTGCTTCTTTTATAGCCTGATATTTATATTATATGACAAAAAACAAAAAAAAAATAAATAAGAAAAACAACAAGGTAAAATAAAAAAAAACTTTTAGCTGGAATAGAACCCACATCATCATTGATCCTTGAAAGACGATAAAAGCGTACTCATTAACCAATCGACCACGAGCACTACGATAATTACAGTGAAAATGTCGGGTCATATCAATGATTGTAAATAGTTTTAACCTTACCCATGCATTAAATTATAAAAATACGTATACCGACACAAGAATGAAAATACCAATGTGAACGTGGTGGACGAATATTTTTATACACAGTAATATGAAATTACCCACACATGTACATTGTGTAAATGACAGTAGTGTCGATGTGAGCGTTACGAACTAATTAGCGGTGCTTTGTGTACACCGTAGGCTGCACCGACCGCGCACGCTGCTCATGAGGAAGAACTCCTCTGTGGTTCGAAACTAGTAGAGCTAGTTAATATATTTAAGTTCTACAGTTGTACACCTCCTTAGTCATACAATGTTTCTGTCTGTCAGTTAGATAGGAATGTTTCTATGCAGGAACACATAACTATAACAGCCTGGTAGAACTGACATGAAAACACTACATGCTTTTAAGGTGGTTAAGCAATACCGACGAACATGCATGAAAAGACTGATGACTATTGATGAAGCGAAAGAGGTAAGTAAGAAACGTAGCGATCCATAGTCGACATTCCTCATAGTCTCCGCCTACCCCCATGAGAGACAGGCATGTATGTAAACAATACCACAAGTCCAAAATTCAATTTAAATAACAAACATTTCCGTAAACAAAACATAAGTAATTTATAAACTAATTGTGACCCTGAACTAAATGAATGATAAGTATCTACAATTATTTATTCATCATAATTATTTACACTTACACTGTTTAGACGCTAAACCTTGACAATGTAATATAACTGAGGAAATAATATTTTACTTCCGAAAGACAATTTCATATTGGTCTCGTAGTATGATAACTTGAAAACTCTTATTCTACTAGAAATTCTTCATCATTTAGTTTTATAGTTTAATATGGTTCAGTGGCTAATGAAAAGGCTAGAAAATATTCGCCAAAAATAAACAATATAGGTTTAAAAAAATATCTCTAATATAAATAATAATAAAAAAGCGTTCCACATTTACACAGGTCCAATTTACGAACTCTATTCTGTTCACAACAAGAAAAATATTACATCCGACCTTTTTCAAATCGTGACACTAGGTCAACACATTATAATAGTGGCGGCCATATTAAAATTATAATAGTCTACGGAAATCAGAATCCGCCCGTGTGGTGCGGCCCTCTGCCAGCGATCGATCACCTTGGACTTACATGTCCCAGAAACTGGAAATGGAATAAAATGGGCGCGGCCATGTTGGTATCGCTAAGCACTATACACTTTTATGTGATGTAGCTTAATGGAATAAAGTGGTGTAAAACGTCTAGTAGGAACCCTGTGTGTTTAGTAATGGAGATATTGTTAATACTAGGTCGATTAGTATGAGTTTTGGGACATACGTATGTTCAGCTTACTATTTTAGTTTTTGGGTTTAAGATATATTATAACGGATAGGATCAATATGAGAAACTACTAACGTTCAGATTGATAATTATCAAAATGTTATAATGTTAATACCCCTTCAGGAATAAAAGGTGTGATGATAATCTAAATCCAAAATTTATAGTGTCAATTAATCTCTTCGCAATCAGCCAACGATACAGTTCACACACACTTTAACACTCCAAAAAACATTGCTGCAATAGACCACACAAATTCTCAACATCTTATTGAAATAATATTTCATTACTCAAGTTTTTGTCTAATTTATGGCGGAATTTCCAAGGAGACCGGTCAGAGTTTAGCAATTTCGTGTTCGCCCCCAGTATTTGCATGCCTCGGTTGGGATTTCTTTTTCAATTTCGTACTTGTTCGCGACTT